TGTATGATAATGCCTTGCCTTCAGTCAAAGGCACAAGCTGTCAACACGAGAGTGAAGCACTAGTGTAGGCATGCACATACATGCGCATGCACACACATAGTATTTATAAAACTGCTACTGTAAGGGATTTGGGGTTTATTTTTTTAATTAACTGAAAACGATAACACAAGAGCTCTTCATCTGACATGAGCTTGAGTTTCATCAGCTGCTGGAAAAGATTCTCTTTGAGAAATGAAATTACAGTGTTTCTCCATGTACTTTCTGTGGATTTCAAAATAAACACAGCTATATGATCATGCCAGTTGTAGGTAAAGTTGCAGGTCCTGATACATCTATAAAGAGGCTGCAGAGCTAGACACACAATCTGGCTAACACATCATATTGGCTAAATGACAGAATGCCCATTTTAAAAAAAAAAAGTGAAGCACAAGTGAAAAGAACTAGGAACAGCAGTTACAAAGGGTGCCCTTGGCCTACTAATAGCACCTAGCTATTGCGTTATACACCACATGGCATAAAAGACAGTTCATTATTTGATGGTTCTTCTGCTCATCCACATTTCTCACCATGTCAAGTTTCTCATATAGAACAATGCATGAGAGCAGGAAACTAAAAATGCAGACGAAGGCTTCATAACTGCTTTTGCTCTATGCTCCACTTTAAAAGTCAGCAGTTACACTGTGAATCAGTTACCTTCCCACGCCCCACAAAGGACAATTGACAAGATGGTAAGCAACAGCCCTGAGTACAAAACTTATCCTTTCCAATGAATGCACTGAGAAGTGCAGGCTGTACTAAATAACAACACTGCCAGCTGCCACTTTGTCTTTTCTTCTCATATGGGACCTTTACAATTCATGGTCTCTTGTGCTTATCTGATTATAAAAAAGGAAGGGAGGAATCTCAGCAGGGCCTTTTTCAGTCCCTAGGAACCTAGAAATTCCTACCTCTTTCCCCTATTTCATGCTCCAAAACACATCAGCTTGATACATACTTTTGCTAAGTGCTCAGAAGATTACTTCAGAGGTTTCAGGGTGTAGCAAAGAAAACAAAAGGGATTGCACCATTGCTTTGATTTAGTAGCTGGCAAGGTCAGTACAGTATTTAAATGTGATTATTTAATGATATATTAGGTCACTATCATGTTTTTGTAAGTATAATTAAACTCATTGAGTGCCTAAGAGTTTTTTAAAGACTTCTTGTTCATTATTTTTTACATTTAAGAAATAATACTTTCAATAATGGATTGAGATTAAAGAGAGATTGAAGTTTTCCAAGGTTTCTGATGAATCTGGTTAAGAAAAGAACTTTGGAACTACAGATAAGAAAAAGGAACAGCTCAGTCATCAAGTGTCTCAGACACAAGATGACAGCTGTACATATTTGAAGATGTAAATAAATTAATTCCTCAGAGGATGCTCATGCACATGAGTATTGGCAGATCTGATGTAGTCTGTCTGGAAGAGTTAGGACTAGCTGCATACAGGTATCTACTCCACTGAAATTATTCTTTGGGGAACTTATTCCTGCAATAATTCCTTTCCATCTCCACCTTCAGAGCTATTAAATCTTATTTGCTTTCCTTCATCTTCTTTGCAAGTCAACATTTTTTGATGTTGCACAGGATGACTTGAGAGGTCTCCACTTATACTGATAAACATATCCCTTGTGTAATGGAAAATGTGACATTCCAAATGACTGCAAAAGTAGAGACAGGCAAATAAATCAGAGATAACACCACATCTATCACTGTTCAGTGTGAAAAATCATCTATGAAATCTGTTCTCAAAGAACAAGGAAGGTTACTACAGCACAGGGAGTCTTTGATATGAAACTGAGGTTTTAATTGGGGACCCTGCTTCTGTTATATAAAGCAAAAAGAGCTTTACCTACAACAGAGAATAAGGACAGATTCATCTCAGCTATGTGAGCATCACAAGCCTTCATAACCTGTGGTAACATTCAGAAACATTCTTAGAGAAAGGATTTTGCAGTAGGCTTCATTAAGTAGATTGTGATAAGTTGCTCAAAGAAGAATTGACAATAAGAACAAGAAGCTCTACTAAACAATGACCAAAACTAATAATATTAAAAACCAAACTGTCAGTAATTTGTTGAGTAACCATAAGTCTTGCTCTGGCTAGACTCACTCAGCAGAGTTACTGTCAACGTAAGCAAGTAGTAGACAAGCACTCCAATGACAGGCACAGAATTTATAGCGCTGTCAACATCATAAGTTATCTACTAGCAGGTAAAAAAAGCGGTCTTTAATGAAAAAAGCTACTCAAGGAAGCTCTGTTTCTTTAGTTTGGCATAAATATAGGTGGAGGATTTCTTCACATTTTAAATATCACACACATATGTCAAATTAAGCTAATGTTTTGGAGACTCTGCAGGAGTAAACTGTATGACCTCAGCGTCAGCCACAGACAGACTTACAGTGTGGACTCTCAGGTACAAAGTAACTCAAAGAAAAACACTCAGGAGCAAAATAAAACACATACTAAAATGAATTTCCAAACAACACAGTAAAAATAGGATCAGGCACATCAAACTGTCTTTTCCATTTCTGAAGCAAAGACTTTAATTTGAAATATAGGCAAGTAGGAGAACAGAACTGAAATCACTTCAATTACCATATTAAACATGTCATGCAGACAAATTAAATATATGGGAGATGCAACTGATAAGAGCTTAGCTGAACATCAGTGACAGTGGAGGAGACATACTTTCAGTGAATAAATTAGCCTCCTACCAAGACAAGCATCTGTTACGGTCAAATGTGTCTCAGGATGTCTGATAGCTCTATCATTCCCAATGAACTTGCTCCACTGCCCAGGGGTCCAGCATGTCCTGCACAACACATGGGAGACAGCTGAGTAATCCCATCAAATAGTCTGCTTGTAGGAAAATGAAAGAGATTCCTCAATAAATTACTGAAGCAGCAGTCAGACACTTGACTAGTGCCTGCTAGTTCAGAGATGAACTGAAAAGGGAAATCTTTCCTCTGATCCAGTAAATCATTTCAAAGGGCCATTCATACCTGGATGTTTAATGAACCATAAGGAGTATAAAAAAATGGCTATTTTTTTCCTGAAAAGCTACTAATATCCTGAGGATGCAGTGCCTCACAATAACTGTTTAACTGTCTCTTGCAAGTAAGAAAGTTGAGTTCTGCTCACATACTCTACTGATTCAGCAGAGGTAGTACCAGTCTAAAATTTTCAATGAGATATAATAATTGGGAGTCTGAATGACTGCATTCCATATGCTCATTCAGTTCTTTTAATCTGCTTTGCCCAGCATGTCTCACATTAGAGGACTCAAAACCTGCAAATCTTTCCAGTCCACTGCAAGTGATTTGTAACTAACAGGAATAAAGCCAGGTAGAAACATCTTGTTTTTCAAGGCACAACCAAAGCCCCAGGTCACAACAGAAACATCAAGTTCTAATAGACGTTGTATCAGATGGGAACTTGACAGCTCTGATCCTTCTCTACTCACAATAGAACTGCACTAGTTAAATAATGTCTTCGTTCCTTTTAAAGCCTGTGATTCAAGGAAATCCAAATTCCTACTCCACAAAGCAGCAGAATATTATTATATGCACCAGGATACGCAAAAGCAAGTATACACACACAAAGGTAAGGCCAGTCTGTTGTATCTCTTGTATATATTTGACTCTTTGTTATATATGGGTAGAGTATGGCACAATTATCAGAATCCTGTACCAATAGTGGTATTGGGATTTCTATGAAGAAAGCTGTATGCCTGCCTGAACACTTCCCTCCCCCTTTCCCCAAACTACTTGACAATATGCAGTTCAGTCATTAGGGGTTACAGGTCTTATTATTCAGCTTATAGATCTCCAACCTCTGCTACACATCTGTGCTGGATACAAAGAATACGTTCTCATATCAGATGTCTAACTCCAGCCTGCAACTTGATCAACAATGAGTGAGAGTTCTTCCTCACCTCCCACACCATTACAGAAGTGACATTTCTGTCAAGAGATTCCACACTTTCCCTCCCATTCTTTATCCAGGCCGACCCCACAAGACAATCCGGAAAAGATAACAGGATCATAACCAGGCTGTAATTTCTAAAGCTGATCAACAGAATTTATATTTTTCTTTATAATTCAGATCATCACTTAAAAAACAAACAAACAAAAAACCTACCTCCACAACTTAAGGGAACAAAAATTAAAAACATTGGCTGCTCTGACTAGATGCTATATACTGTAGCTTTCTGCATGCGTGAACAATTTCTGTTTTAATTGTTTAAAACATCTTGCCTCTATGCGATTTTTCACTTGAAATTTTACCACCTCCCCGTTTCAGGGAGGACTATGCCAGATGCAGGAACACCGCCCTCTGTCCGCTGCAGAGAACATGGCATTTAATGCCTCTGCTCTTCCAGAGCTGCCAATGTGTTTAGTTAAATTTAAACAAACATATACAACATTTGCTCGGCAATGCTTTGGCATCCAGATTTCCACTGATAATACAGTTTTAGAAAGATTTTTGTTCCTGCTGCATACATCCCAGTGCGTTTTAAAACTGTTTAACATAAGATTTTTTTTTTTACTCTGGAAAAGTAAATGACAAGTCATTTCAAGCTTCTTGAAAGGTTGGGGTTTTGTTGGTTTTTTTGTTTGTTTGTTTTGTTTTTTTCCAAATCTCCTTCTTTAATCATCTCCGCAAGAAAAGCCAATTACAACTCTTACCAGCTTTCTTTCCCCCCACATACAAAAGCACTTGCTGGTTTCCCCTTCCCCACTCCTGCAGCAAAGCGTCAATGTGGAAAGAGGATTTCAAAATAGAAGCACAAATGCTGACAAATCCTCAAAGTTTTTTTTACACTTTTATTTTGCCTCCATGTTTTCACAGCTGCTCTGCTTAGAAGACAATAAAAAAACGGCCTGTAAAAAACATTACAAATTAAGAGACTGGAAAACTGCAGCCCAAGGAGGAGGATGTGACTTTAGTTTGACTTACCAATTTTATTCAGCTGTATATTTTCCTACTTGCTTTTTACAGCAGCTGAGCTCAGTGCTCAGGAACGTCCACCCCGTGTCAGGGAGCCAGGCAGAGCGCTGATCCCCACGCTGGTTGCTGCTGAGCGAGCGGAGCTGGGGTGGCGGCTGCTGCCGTTGCTGTTGCTGCTGTGTGCGCTCGCTCAGCCCCTGATCAGGAACTGCTTCCCATTCCCCAGCCCGGCTCCAGCGCTGCAGGCTTCGGGAGGCAGGCCCCAGCTACTGTGCTGCACTTTCTTAAAGGGACAAGCTCCGGCCTGGCAGGAGCGCACGCGAACCGGGAGCTACCAGGGCTGCCCGGGGTGGCGGGCTCACCGCCTCCAACCCGGGCGATACCCATCGCAACACCAGACGGTTTCTTACGTACCTCGAGAACGAGAACAACGCTCTTCTACACAGCTTTTCATTCAAGGCTTTCAGGTTTTGCGGTTGTTTATTTTTGCTTACTTCACACCCTCTGCAACGTAGGTGGGAATTATTGCACTGCGAAGCAGGAGGCAACAGCAGCAGGGGCTGGTTTCCCTGGACCGTGGGCGCAGGGCCCCATCTGCGGTCGGGACCCCAGCGGGGTGCACGCAGTGTGTCTGCTCCAACCCTGTGCTCTGTGCTGTACGCTGTGGCACGCTGTCCCCAGCCCACGGTCTGCAGCGGCGTTAGGATTAGGGATATCCCCTGGCAACTCGGAGCGTTTTGACCTTAAGAGATTTTATTCCCTTGTAACAGAGAGGATATGACTTCACTAAATAAAAAGCCCTCATTTCCCAGTTTTTCCTCCTCAGTCATTCTCCAGATAGCTTTAATCCCGTGCAAACCACTGTTTCTAGGATGTTTTCTGTTTTCTGACTTCACTTTCAACTATATCTGATATTAATAGCTAGATTAATATGGGGGAGCTGTCTGCCTTGTCTGTGTTGCTGCCTGCAGTGGAAGAAACTGCATTCTCTGTTAAACAGTAATGCTGAAATTCAGAGACAGTAACACCATCTGCAAAATCTCTCTCTTTTTTTAAACTCATGGAAATATATGGTTTCCTCTCTGTACATGTAAGTCATTTGTTTTCATTACAATAACTGAACTCTCATGATGACAACACCAATCAACACTTATCACAAGTCCAAGTCATAATGGCGCAACCAGAGAAAGCAAGTTACAGGGGAAAAATATCACCTTCAAACTGGCAGGACAAATCAAACAAGATGAGACTAAGTCACCACTGTCCTGTCTTCTCTGCCTTCATATACACCAATGCACAAAAAGCACAGAATGGGTACAAGCTGCTAGCAACCCATGATGTCTTTCTGTTTCTATGGTCCTATGGTAAAAGGACATAGGTACAAACCAACAGGTGAGTCCAGCCCTTTTAATGCTAAGAGTCCTTCACAAACAGGCTCAGTAGGTATCCGGTAACTACTGGCATGTATGCCTTCTACCCTTTAAGCAAAGTAGCCATTTAGCCACATATTACTAAATTATAATCTTCAGCATTATTAGCTTTGTATTAAACCACGGGGACCCATCAATGTTCCTCTAGCATGAGCTGTACTATGCTCCTGCCTTTCTCAGCATAAAGCCTGGGAAAGTTTTATATGATTTACACATGCAAACTACCTATGATGCACGGTAGAAGGGATCTTTTAATTCCATCAATCCTCCCCTCCGTTCACACACTTCCATTGGTCTATTAATTCTCGCTTTTCACTCACATCTCTGCCTACTACTTTTTTCATCTTATCCTCCAAGTCCCTGCCCCTTTACTCCGTGTTTTCCCCTCCTGCTGCCAGGTACTTCTGCAGCTGATTTCCACCTTTCCAGCTCCACCTAACTGTCTTGGCCTCCCCTTCTCCCCTCTATCCTCTCAGTTTCTCATTGGAAGAGGAACGAAGAGCTGAAAGGAGAGGTGGGAATGATTAACTGATTCCTTCTCTTGCTTCCCTCTCTTTCCTCCAGCCAAGGTTCTGGAGACTTGTATCCAGCCCTAGAAACTAACCTGCAGCAGCAGGCTAAGGGACAAGGGTTAGGTAGGCTCACATTACCAACACTACTTCCCTTCTTCTCACCTTAGCACACTGTACTATTTATTATGATACAGTGTAACCAAGATAAATGGCCCTTGTCTTGTTCATTAGTTAAAAGTTTACAAAACACTCATCTTTAAGACAAAGCCGGTCATCCCTTTGATGCATCAGCTAAGGTTATTCTGATATGTTCAAAACAGGCAGAGTCTGTCTACAAGGCAACAGGATAAGGCATCTGCAGTGGATGGGGGTTTGAATGGCAAAGACACCAATGATGGAGAGAAACCAGGGCTTGGCAGGAGCTAAAGTGATGCTCCATTGCTCTGCACACAAAAAACAAGAACATGCAGAACACCAGAAAGCGCCCAGCAGGAAACAGGCTTGTGCCACTGGACCAGAATGATCTAACCACCATAAATGTTAAGATAAAAAAAGAATATCTGCTGTTCCTTACATATGTTGCTCCTTGATCCTCTCATAATCCCATGTGAAAACTGCCTCCCCTCTCACCGCAGCATCTGGATGTTCCATTGACAGAGCATTGTCTAATAGTTACAGCATAACTCCTGGTTTCTATTACTGGCTGTAGGAGATGTATGGTATATTAAATAAAATAAAGGAAATATAGAATTTGAATTGTGCTGCATGCTTCAATATTTAGTCAGCAGTAAATGAAACTAGATAAATCACTGATTCTTTCTGTGACTCTGTTTCCCCAACAACAAAAAAGTACATTAAACTCTGGTGTTATATAATTTAATACTTGTATTAGTAACAGCTTGGGATGAAAGATGACAGAGAAGCCAGCTTTTTATTATTAAATACTGAACTGCAGGTACCTCAGTGAAAACTGAAAAGTGTTGCAGTTTGCAAAAATGTTGATTCTGCAGAGCAGAAGCCCTTGCACAAGAGGTGACATTTAATAGGAGCTATTTTGGTGTCTTAGCTTATAGGGGACAGCAAAACCAGAAGTCATCCCAAAGTTACCAAGACAGCACAAACATACCTACAAAGGCAGCTCCTTCTGAATTTAGGAATAAGACCATTAAAGAAATAACCTGCCTATTTCTATAAGCATTTTTAGGCTCTGATGACCAAGGTCAAAACCAAAAAGCTATATTATTATCTGAGTATAAGGGCTCTTAATAGTAAGGAGTGAAAAGACAAGGGAAAAGGGACATAAAAAAATGAATAGATTATTTGCTGCTCAAAACAGATTCCTTATAGAACGCCGAAGTAAAAGCTTCTGTGAGATGGTGCTCTACCTCTGGAGATATGAACTGTTTGTTAGATCCCTTGTCAAAACAAAAGGACACGGGCATATTAATCTAACAACAAAAGTGCCCATTGTGAGAGGACACCAAGTGCCAGGCTGTCTGCTCCATCTGACAATGCAATTAAACACCATGGCTTTGTGAGCTTGGCTGCACGCCTTGCCTGACACCACCACCCAGTGCTGCTATAGGGTCTGCAGCTCAGTCACCACAGGCTACAGAACTAGCAACACTTTCATACCCTTCCTACAAAGACAGTTTCTGCATGCCTCTTGGTCTCTGAAATACCACACAATGTTTTGAGCATCTCTTGAGTGGGACATGCAGAGCAGTATTACTAGTATACACTGACATTGGGTGTAACATGGTGATGGAACCATCCCTATCCTTTCTTATCAAAGAGCTGCAAGAAATTCTGTCCCCTGTCACTGAGGGGCTGAAATGAGGCATATATAGTCAATACAATATAGATATGCATATATGTTCTTTTAGTTAATATAATTCTTCTAAAATTATTTTTATCTTTGGGCTCAAACCACACCATCAGATCTAAGGGCTGGATTCCACTTCCACAGAATTCCTGATGAATAAGGATGGAACCATGCTCCAGTTCAGGGATATATAAATTTCAGATTGAAGCTTTTCAATCCTAACCCACATCTTTAAGGTTTTAATGCAGCAGTTTGGGAACTTGCTGTAAACTTTAAAAAAGTAGGGATCTGGAAAATGCTCATCTGAAATAGTGTTCATTATTAATGCCACAAGATTGTTTTCCACTTGAATCATAATGCATGTACATACCTGTGTGTGCATGTATGCCTTTATACAGGTGAATGCATGCAGATGTTTGAGTGAAACTGCAACAGAATTTATTGCTGTTAAGGTTAGCTTGCACCTGATGTATTATTGGTGTACTTCTTTTTCTGCAGCATTCCTGATACCATGGAAAAATATGTTTTAGTTAGCTGCCACTACAAACCCAGCACAAACATTTATTTTTGGTGGGGTTATTTTCTCAGTTAAAAAAAGAAAAATTGGTTAGAAGTAAATAAATTGGTTCCTAGAACCTAAGCCTTATCAGATCTGTAAGAGTTGTGCAGTTAATGAAAGTTATAGCCTTCAACATGAAGATAATGTTCCTTGACAATGCCTTAAATCAATGTACTAGCTATCAAACTACTTCTACCAATTGTTCTTAAATAAAAAGATTTGTTTTCCATATTATAAAATGGCCCACACCACAGAATTTAGGTCAACTAAAATTCAAATCTGTATACATCATAATAAAATAGAAGATGTTGGTTTGGACCTTTCTGGAGATGGCACATTTCAATTTCACCCTTTTCCCTGTTCATACCTCCTCCTCTTTCATTGGTTTCTCAAGCCCATTATAACCCTTTCTCCTGTACTGGTTAAGATTTAGTGAGTGGTCTGCACAAGTTGTTGGCTGACAAGGGAACACGCAAGCCCAAAAGAAAAGCCATCAGTATTTGCTGCAATTCAGACAACAGCTATGGAAAGAGGAAAAAGACATTTGCTCTTCAGAAAGGAGAAGACGTTTACAAGCTCTTAGAAAGCGAAAGTCAGAGATTACTCCAACTGAAGGAAAAAAAGAAAAAATGTGGAAATTTTATAGGAATTGTCTCATTTCTCCCTTTAGTTTTGCTTGGTATTTCTCAAACATTTTGAAAGTGCAACTCTGTTTTCAGGTAACAGCCCAACTCAAACCCAGATTCCTGAAGACAAGGGAGAGAGACTTAGAATTAGATTAAATTTCCTGCCACTGAAACATTAATCATCTGCCAGCAATTAA